CTGGGTTACATGTTAAATAGGTCTCTCTCTCTCTCTCTCTCTCTCTGTGTGTGTGTGTGTGTGTGTGTTTGTTTGTACATGTGAGTGATAGGCCAAGAAAAGCAGCAGTCTAGGATTTGGGGAATCGCTTTAATGAGAGCAGAATGGTGAAGACCTATGGTTGGAACCAGGCAGTGGTTCCAACCAGGTAGCAGAGAATTTGGGGAAAACTGTGGGTTAAATTGGTTTATCCAGCTTTGGGCCTCTGAATTCAGGCTAAGCACACATGGCTATTTACTAACTTTGTGACCTTGGGTAAGTCATTGAGCCTTGATCTTTTCATTTGTAAATGGATGCTCATTCTGGCTTTTTGCCTTTACCCTGTAACCTGCATGGCTGGCAGGGTGAGATAATGTGGTGAATAGCAGCAGTGTGGTAGAAACCTGCTGAGCTATCCCACTTTGGGGCAGTGGGTAAACTGTTTGTCAGGGTATTCTTTCCACCAACAACCTCAGGTACCTCCCCTGTGCCCTCTGGAAAGTTGGCAATGTGTTTTCTAGGACTGGATGACTATCTTTCTTGTAGAAATACTGACAATGCTGGCAGAAAGAGAGTCAGGCTGCATCACCCCTCCTGCGCCCAGGCAGACTTGACGGAAGTGCAATCTGTGTATTTAGGTCCAGGCCTGCCCTCCAGTGGGATAGTCTTCTCTCTAAGAATGAAGCACCATGTATTTTACTGAATGTACAGTGTCGGGCTAGATATGTCCTTGGGTGATACAAACAGTTAATGCGTACAGTTGAGCATCAGAAGGTTGGCTCAAGTCCACTCAGACTCAGTGCCTTGCAGGAAAGGTCAGGCAGTCTACTTCTAAAACATTGGCCATCAAAAACTCCAAGAGGAAGAAGCACACCAGCTTGTGTGATCTAAGGATTGTAAATAATATAACCCAAATCTAAATGAGGGAATAGCATCAGAGCTTAAATGTGAACAACCAGTTTGCAGAAGGCTATGGATGTCAGTGGAAGCCCCAAATCCATTTGCAGGGTCCACACATAGAATAAGCCTCTGGTGATTCCCCTCTGATCAAAGATAAGGGATGTGAATAGCTCTGATATCAGATAGGGTTTTGTAAAGTTAATTATGGCAACTGTAAGTAGGTGAAAATGTAATATCATTTGACTCTCTCTTTAGACCCATTTCAAAGCCATTTCAGTTTTTTAAAAAAATATAAAGGAAACACACACGGATTAAGCTCCTGGTGAATCTCCTCTGACTATGGACCAGGGCTGTGAATAGCCTCACTAGCATGCAAAATGCATTGGAAGTGAATTTTTGCAAATGCAGTTAGGTTAACATTTAGCGCCCTAGCATTTGATCATCCGTATGGATCCATTTAAATGTGTTCTAGTTTTTAATAATTTCTGCTTTCCATTGAGGCTTTTATCTGTTTTAGTTTGTTATTTTTGTTAGTTTAGTTTAGTTTTTCAATGTTTTTCTGTATACAAAATCCAGGATAGAGCAATCTATAGAGATAGTAACTGGATTAATGGTTCCTTGGGGGGATGGCAGGGGAGCTTGGGGGGAGGCGGCTAATAACAATGAATACAAGAATGAAGAGAATGTTCTAAAACATTGTGCTGATGATTGTACAATTATTCTTGATGCGATTGAACTATTGTATGATATGTGCATTGTATACAAATAAGACTGTTGCAAAAAATGTTTATATATACCAAAACAAAATTTAAAACTCCATGGAGCACAAATACCGCATATACTTGTGTATCAGCCAAGTTTTTATACACATTTTAAATGCAGTTTTTGTGGTAAAATTAGGTGCCT